GCAGGGCAAGGGCAAGGCAGGGCAAGGGCAGGGCAGGGCAGGGGCGGGGCAAGGGCAGGGCAGGGCAAGGGCAGGGGCGGGGCAGGGGCAGGGCAGGGGCGGGGCAAGGGCAGGGCAAGGGCAAGGGCAGGGCAAGGGCAGGGCAGGGCAAGGGCAGGGCAGGGCAGGGCACTAGTGGCAGCCTCCGTGGGTTCCGCTTAAGCCAGAAGCCGCAGCACAGAAATCAATTTGCTTGTTCTAGAAAGCTCACTGGAAACATGCGACTAAAATTGTACAAGGCAGAGGACAGTCTGTACTTCACGCTAAACAGACAAAAACACTGTGCTCAAGCAATCACATTCCTGCTGGAAGAAAAGTGGAATTTGATAACCAACATGAATAAATTAATAGTTTTTGCTGCATTGCATTGTTTGCTTTGCAAGTTTGGTTCACACAGACCCCAGGAAGAGGAAACTTGTTATACGGAGGCACCCAAAAAGGCTTCTTACAACTGCAGGAAAAGAACTGCTTGCCCATCTGACTCCTGAAATTTCAGCATTCAGGCCTCATGAAGACCTGAATCCCAGAAAATTGGGTACTGATATTTTGGAGGAATAGAGAGAGATTCCCAGAAAAAGGCAGGTTGCTCACCTGTAACTGTCGTTCTTCGAGTGGCCATCTGTGTATCTGTGCTGCACCTGCGCAGTGCCTCTAGCCGGGAAGAGTCAAAAGCTTAACGTTTTTGGTGGGAACTCCGCACCCCCAACCCCATGGTATAAAAGGGCGGAGTGCCCGCTATTTCCTCAGTCTATTGGAGACAGATTGTTCGCCCCCTCACGGGAGCGAGAGATATTGCAGGAAACCTGCTGAATCTTATACAAAGAAAGCACTAACGGGACCGGTATCAAGAAAGAAATGGTACCGTATAAAACCATTCACTGACACCGAGCGGGGCCGGCGGGTGGGTTGTGTGAATGCACAGATGGCCACTTGAAGAACGACAGTGACAGGTGAGCAACCTGCCCTTCTTCGTCGTGGCCTCTGTGCATCACACATATGGGGGATTAGCAAGCTTACGAGACCCGGAGGTGGGCGGTGTCATCACTGAAGGACAGAAGAAAGGACTGCCCGACCAAAGCAGCAGTCGTGCCTGGCACGCACATCAAGGCGGCAATGCCTGGCAAAGGTGCAAGGAGCAGTCCAAGTGGCAGCCTTGCAATGTCCCGGATCGGAATGCCAGCGGCAAAAGCAGAGGAGGCAGCTACCGCCCTCGTGGAGTGCCCTCTGGGCATGACAGGTAAGTCAAGCTTGGCAAGCTGATACGCTAGCGCGTTGGTCTGTACGATCCACTTGAAAGCGTCGGCGAAGCAACAGGGGAGCCCTTATCATAGTCCGAGTATTTAACAAAGAGGCGGTTAGATTTACGGAAAGATTCCGTGCGAGACTGGTAGAAGGCAAGGCAGCGATGAATGTCAAGAGAATGCAACGACCATTCAGTTGGTGTAGCGGGCGTAGGGAAAAAGGCTGGTAAGACAATGTCCTGGTTAATATGGAAAGGAGACACAACCTTGGGTAAGAAGGCCGGATCAGTGCGTAGAACAACTTTCTCCTTATGAAAATTCAGGTAAAGAGGACCTGTCCTAAGTGCGCAGAGTTCACTATCCCTTCTGGCAGACGTCACCACGATGAGAAAGGCAGTCTTCGAAGACAAGAGGCGCAAGTCAGTAGTTGCCAGGGACTCGAAAGGCGCTCGGGTGAGTGCCTGGAGAACAACCGAGAGGCTCCAGGTAGGAATACCTGGACAAAGTGGTGGTTGAAGGTTCTGTAAACCCTTGAGGAATCGACGTATGAGGGTATGAGAAGAAATCGAAGAAGCAGTAAAACTGTTGGATTCAGCAAAGAACGTGAAGCGTTTCCATTTGGCCGCATAAGACCGACGAGTTGCAGGTCTTAGGGCAGACTGGAGAATAAATTGAATATTGGGATCGAGAGTGCTCGGATTCGATGCAAAGTCTATCAGAATCGAGGAAATGGAAGCTGTATCTGAATAGTGATGGACAAATGGAAGAGTCCCTGAATCCGCCGGTACCGAATGGACCCCGTGGTTCATCGAATGAGCCAGGCAGTTAGACCGAGTGAAGGAAGATCCGGGTGACGAACTGCTCCGTCCTGTTGAGTTATTAGATGAGGTATGAGGGGCAGGCAGAAAAAGGTGCTGCCGGATAGGCGGAAAAGAGTAGAGAAAAGTGGTTGACGGGGCAGCCAGGGGGTGATCAGGATTCCCGTGGCACCGACACAGACAATCTTGGCTAGGACCAAGGGATCATGAGAGCGTCTCCTGTCGATCCTGGGCCGACACCGACACGGGAGCAGAACATCCCGCACACCTTGTACGTGTGGGTGATGAACAGGTATATGTCTGGAGGGCCCAAGGTCTGAAAGAGGCGATGGCAGGTCGGACGATCCAGTTCCCACTCGTGAGTCGACATCTGCCTGCTGAGGGCGTTGGTCTCCTCGTTGTCGGTGCCGGCCAGGTGAACAGCCAGGAGGATTATCTCCCTGGGATGCACCCGTCCCACAGCTG